TTTTCTCAATTATTATTTTAATTACTGAAAAACTATCTAAATTATGCATCTGATCACTTCAATAACTCATAAACAAACTCATAGTTTAAGCAAAGGTCAGATCGCACACTCAAAAACAACCATTAGAAGCTGTAATAACTAAAATAATACATACATTAATCTAAATCTGGTCTCAAATCTACTTTATTCACTGTATTATTATCTGTTCCACCAGAAGAGGATTTCCTGCAAAAATCAGGGCATTTATAAATAGTTTACATCCCATTTGCAGATGTTTTCTGCTGACTGAAGCACTACAGAAATAGATGTGTGGATTTAATATGCTGCTGCTCCACTTCTGAAACCCAAACATGCCAATCTGAACTACAGAAATAAATCTGAGCTGCTGAGATAAATCTGTGATGCTGGGTCAAACCCATGAGAATGTCCAACATTTAACCAGAAAAAAACATAATAATAACAACAACAACAATAATAATAATAATCATAATAATAATAATAACAATGATTATTATATTATAATATATTATATTACATTGTTATATTATATTAATAATTGATAATAATAATATTAATAATGATTAAAAATAAATCAAAAAAATTATAATAAAGGGTATTACGGTGGCGCAATGGGTAGCATGATTGCCTCACAGTAAAAATGTCGCTGGTTTGAGCTCCGGCTGGGTCAGTTGGTGTTTCTGTGTGGAGTTTGCATGTTCTCCCCGTGTTGGCGTGGGTATCTTTCGGGTGCTCCAGTTTCCCTCACAGTCCAAACACATGCGCTATAGGCGAATTAGGTTTTCTAAATTATCTGTACACTGAAAAAAGTGTTGCATGTAGAACTGTTGCAAACAACTTATTTGTGTTGAATTTAAACAAAGAAATTAAGTTTAATAATGTTCAACATAATTTGTTTGTTTAAATTCAGCCCAAATAAATTGTGTACAACCACTCAGCATAAAAAAAAAAATCGAGTTAATCCAAGGAATCATCTTTGAATAATTTTTTTAGTGTATGTGTGTGCGTGTGTGTATGGTTGTTTCCCAGCACTGGGTTGCAGCTGGAAGGGCATCCACTGCGTAAAACATATGCTGGAATTGTTGGCGGTTCATTCCGCTGTGATACCCCTGATTAATAAAGGGACTAAACTAAAGGAAAATGGATGACTGACTGATCAATAATAACGAGTGTCAGAATGGTGACCGGTGTGTGTAACGGCACACAGGGGTTTGTGGTTCATAGAGGAGTTAGCAGTTGACCAGTGATCTTTCAAGAGGTGATCGCTGGTGAACATGACAGAAAGATGAGTTCAGTGTATTGCAGTGTCCGTTACCTGACTGTGTTTCAGTATACGAGTCATTTACTGCAGTACACTGTTTATTATTTGATTAGCTTGTATCAGTAATGGAGGCAGCAGCGAGAGTTTACTCTAGAGTGAAGAGAAGTGCTTCAGGGTGAATCTGAGTGTTTGATTGGGCATCACTAGCGTGTGTGTGTGTGTGTGTGTGTGTGTGTGTGTGAATAATGCAGATTCAGCTGATTTGAGGACTGTGTGTGTGTGTGTGTGTGTGTGTGTGTG